AAGTGCAGTTTAAGAAGGCGCCTCTAGAAGTTGTATTAAGAAGCTACGCGGTCTCCCCACTAAGACCCATATAAAAGTGTTGTAAAAGCATATGGTCTTGAATGGCAAGATCGGGACCAGAATTGACTAGGTCATTAAAACGTGCCCATGCTGCACCAAGAGATTCTGTTTCTTTCTATTTAAAAGATAGAACCTCTATTCGAAGGCTAACCACTCTAGAGATGGGAAATAAAGATAAGCAAAAGCTAGAGCATAGAGCTTCCCAATCTCCTTGTACACTCCCTACAGTTCGGATATACCAGTGTTTAGCTCTTCCCACTAAAGAGAACGGAAATAGCTTCCACTTTAAAGTTTCACATGACATGCCTACGATATGCAAGCATGCACAGGTTTGCTCAAACTCTCGTAGGTGGGTATATGGGTTTTCATTGCCTTCTCCTAAGAATGATTGTTCCTGGACCAAATTTATTAAAGACGGACGCAACTCATAGCCTGGTGTAAGGATAGGTTTCAAAGATTTGGGTGGCTCTAGTTGTGCGCCCGTGGGAGCAGCGAATTGATTAAAAGGTGTGATATTATCCATGCTTAAAAAGATAAAAGATACAAGGACAAACCTGGTTCGACGAAATAACAGCAACCGTTTCCTCGATAACGGCGCCAGAAAACTTGTTGACACATGTGGTGGCACATAGAGACAAAATCTGCAAGCGCACGGGTATCGAAGTAGTTTTCACCTGGAGTATTATCGAGTATCGTATCCACGGGAAAACGTGTGTGTGTTGTCCAACAACTAGTTTGTCCAGGGATAGCAATCAAAGTTTAAGGTATGAATAGAGAGGATTCCTATGGTTATAACCCTATGCAAAGCAAGGCTTATGATTCTCATGTTCACTTTGGGACGCTGCTTAGATGGCAAAGCACCGTTAATAGATAACTCTACCGACGCGACTACAGTCCTACAAAATTAAGAACATGCTCAATTCGGCATGGACTACAAAGGATAGACGGGGCTATCATCTCTCGTTGCTACCACACAACCAAGAAGCATGGAGCAAACACAGGTAGCTGATAGCCTAAGCACCACGCTTATGCTAATGATTACTACTCTAATCCAGAGATCTAACAAGGACTAGAGCACTCAAAATAACTGTGAACCCATGAACAAAAGAGCACAAAACTTATTTTAAACAGAAATCAATTACCAGAGGTATCTCAGATGTAGACTTGAAGAAGCCTAGATCCACCAAAGTACAAGACATAGAGGTAGCACAGACAAGCCGGTACTCCCTCTAAACTCTTCCCTCACTTTCTAGCTCACTATTTCTATTTATAAGACTAGATCCTATAGAGGACTAATCTTCTCTTGAGAGCTGGCTTTGATCCTGATGAGGAGGATATGAACTAGGGTTTTAGGATGATCTCTAGGGAGGGGGGTACTAGGCCATACATATAGGGGGTAGCGTCAATTCTGGACCCTCGGATCAAACCGACTTGAATAAACGGCATAGATGCGATCTTTAAGGCGGTGGGGAACCGACGTAGGGAGGAGGGGCTGACATGTGGGGGCCACAGGCCGGCTGCCCTATAGGTGGGGTCGGTCGGCTCCCCGTGTCGGCCTCTCATGGTCATCTTCGGTGCAGAGTCCTTTGGTGTCCTTTGGAACCTTCTAGAGTTGTTTATGTCGCGGAAAAACGTGATTTACTTTGACGAATAGGTCCACCTTGACGGTTTTCTAGATAAACCCTGCTGAAAACATAGATTCACCAAAACTCATGGAATTTATTAGTTTAAACCCCTAAACTTATATTGGTGATAGAATTAAGCATATATGCAGGTTATATTGACAGTTTATAATTGGTGATAGTGATCGTCAATAGAGAGAGTGAGGGAAATCTCCAGGAGAAAGTCCGGGCCTGTCGGGAATCTTCTCCAAGGTGTACCTCAGCAGATGCTATCTTCTAGTAAGTAATACATCCGAGTTCTTTATAGTATCTGATATTCTGTCTCTGCTAGTAGTTATATAAGCCTTCTTACATGTACACCGCTTTACTTCAGTAGAGTGCTCTAGCCTTTCTAAGGGAACTTAGTTGGTCGAGGCTAGAGTAGTAAGTATAGTGTAGACGTGGTGTCTAGACTATATCTTGCCTGTGTAGATCGCTTGTCGCATGGATTGTTAGTGGTAGCTAGCAGGTGGTGACAGCCCTGTCTAGCCTTTGCATTCCACCACGTGTTGTAGGCAAGTTCTTAAAAGGTAGGGCTCCAGTAACAAGGTAGCCGCTTCGGATAGGGGTTTTGTCTCCTATTGTCTCGTCTATCGCCTTCTGTATGTAAGATGGGTGAACTTCCCTATATAACTACTATCTTTACCAAATATCATTGCTATCTAGATCCTCTCTACCCAAGTTCTATAGGCTCTTTTGTATCATCATAGGATGGTCTTGAAACTTAGTTCACTTCACGTCCCCCGTGGAAATACGATACTTGGAATACTCCCGATGAAGGCTACATTGACTACCGTACACTTGCGGTTTACCCGTTTGCCACTTTAGGTGTCAACACTCGTGTGTCTCCATCTCGCGACCACCGCCGTAGCTCGCGCGAAGGGAAAAAGAGAACAGAAAAACGAACCGGTATCTCATAACCAGTGGCGGGTGGGTAATTTTTTTTTTGCTCAAAAGCAGTTGAAAGCAGGAGTTGAGGTGCTTTCAGTTTAGTACTAGAGCAAAAACTGCTTTCGGCCTAAAGCAGTTGTGGCTTTGAGCCATTTGGTTGACTTTTAGCTTTTGCAAAAGCAAAAACATGTTCAAAAGCCCAATCAAAGGGGGCATTAGGGGCACATGGAGATAACAAGGACACCAAGGAAGGGAAAGAAAAGGAAAAGGACACGAAAGAATAGGAGGAGGATTCCTGACCCCATAGCTGACAGGTGGAACCCATCCTTTACTATTGTTGACGGTGTTAGGAAATGAGAGCATTCCATCCCTTAGATCCCTTCATCCAATAAAAAGGATGGATTTATTCTCTTAACCAAGCACACAAATAGAAAGATCCTGTCCCCGAACCCCAAACTAAAATTCGGTGGACCTGGGTCTAACCCTTCCCTTATGCGACCCCAACCTAGATAGCTGATACGTGTTGTCTGATAAAATCACAAGTCTAATAGGAAAAGTAGAGCCTAGAGCCAATAGAAACCGCATGGATGCAAGACGCGTCAAAGTTACCTAGGCCTCGTTTAGTTGCGGCCGAATTTGGCGCCGGCAAAGTTACTGCAGCTACAGTAACTACTGTAGCATTTCGTTTGTATTTGGTGATAATTGTCCAAACGTTGACTAATTAGGCTCAAAACGTTCGTCTCGCAAAGTACAACCAAACTGTGCAATTAGTTTTTGATTTCATCAACATTTAATACTCCATGCATGTACCGCAAATTTAATGTGATAAAGAATATTTTTTTTGCATAGTGCCAAAATTTAGATTCTAGAGGAACTAAACGCGCCCCTAGCTTCTGCCGAGAGCCACAACTCCCGAACGTCCAGTTTTTTAGAACACCACGCGGTGAACATCCTAGATGTGGATGCATGGACTGAGCTTTGGATCAGCGTCCATGCAATTTTTTTGACCGAAAGGGTCCATGCAATTTTATTCCACGTATTAAAAGCTGGTTGATGAAAACTAGTAAATAGATTGCAACAATTAGCAAATATACCTTCACTATCTCTATATAAGTATGGATGATAGGGACCTAGATTCTTGTATAAACATTTTGGATCTAGATTCTCTAAAAAAACATTTCAGATGATGAATTAAAATTACTTCATAAAATCATTTAGCTGGTAGCTAAATTCTAATTCAAAAAATTATTTTTCATAACAAAAATCATAAATAAATGAAAATATTCTTCAAAAGAAATCCAGAATTTTTTTTGGGTGAAGAACAACTTAAATAAGATTTTAACTTATTTCACTTAAAAAATAATTAACTAAAAATGATAGTTGAGGGCAAAGAATCAGAATCATCTAAAACCAATTAACCTTGCAAGAAATAATTTTAGTGATTTCCGAATGAAATGTTTTTCACCTACCTGTTTGAACTTCACAAAAAAAAACTATCTGTTTGAAGTGAATCTACTCATTCTCAAAAGGCCCCCAAACCACTGGCAACAGCGGCCCATAGCCCGTGTCACACAGTAGGGCTGGATATCGAGCCAGCTCAGCTTAGTTTGGTTCAGCTCGAGCTGACTCGTTAAGCTAACGAGCTAGCTCGGCTCGGCTCGTTAATATTGCGAGTTAGATGGGGTAGCTCGGCTCGGCTCGTTATCGAGCTTGAGCTGGCTCGTTTAGCTCGTGAGCTATAAAAAATAGAACACACATGTTATAATATTTATACTACATTAATTTAAGAAAGTAACGTCCACCATTATATAACCATACATGATTAATACATATCAGGTTCATCAAAAATATCAAGCATGCAATATAGCTGGTCCATTCATAATCATATAGCTTCAGCATACTAACTAGTTGCTTGCCACTATAAACTTAGGAAAGTTCTCAGATTTAATGTCAACATCATCATCTTCTTCCTGAAAAATAATTCATAAAATAAAATCAACATTTAAGTACCACAACAATTATAAAATTAAAATTCATATGAAACAGCTGAAAATAAGAATTATATACCAATAGAATAGGTATACATTTCTAGATCAGCGTCATCATTTTCTAAATTTATGGTCGTAGGCTGATAGACCTTAACTCGTTTTATCTCGTGAGCGAGTTGGCTTGTTAAAATAGCGAGCTAGACTTTCACTTTAACTCGTGAAAAACTTAAAACGAACCGAGTCGAGCTGAGCTGAGTCAGCCACGAGTCCAGCGAGTTGACGAGCCACGAGTATTTTATGTAACCCTACCTAGTAGACCCTATTTATCATAAAAAAAAAACTAGAGCCTAAAAATCAGCGACGCCGAGCGGATCTGCAGCCACCTCAGTCACCGGCGGCGATGGCGAGTTCCAACTCCGGCATCCCTATCAAGGTAAGTGACAATCCCCCCGCTAATCGGTGAGCTTAGGCCCTGATTTCACCAGCACGAGAGCTCTCCTGTGCCAAGGTTAGATATGGGCTCGCCTCCTGTAGTGCCCGGACGTCCATGTCTGCACCGCCTCCGGCATGCCGCAGGTCGCAGACCACGCGCTCCCTCGCTAGGATGCTAGGGTTGTAAGGAATTGGATTATGCTTGGGTGTAGGGCTCAGATTGAATTTGTGGGGATGAAACTCATGAATAGGGGAGAGAAATAAATTTGAGAGGGTGGCTGACCTTGCTTGATGGAATGAAATTTGTGCGTCCAGAATGCTCTCACTGTCATGCCCAACTGCAAGAGCGACCAGAGTAGGAGATGGGCTGGGAGGGTGGCTTTGATATGTTCGCCCTCTGGTTCTTCCCCTTGAGATTGTGCTCATTTCAGCTCTTGTCGATTGCAGGCAGAACAAGATTCGGATGGCTCGGCACAAAGCACAGCTGATATGACCGCCTTTGTAAGTAGCAACTATTACTCCGCTGTTTACATCTGGTTGTCTTGATTGTAGATTGGACCATATTTCCTGTGTTGAACCTACTGTGCACTTATGGCTAATGGTTTATCCATGCCCACTGTTTTCAGGTGCAAAACCTTCTAATCCAGATGGTAAGTTCCTAGTTTTATTTGGCGACAGTCTCGTGCATGCCCTCTCTTCGGAAAAAAAGTTGAATCTGATTACCTTGCAGCAAACCAGGTTCCAAGCTATGTCGGAGAACATCATTTCAAAGAATATCCTCAAATCATTTCTCTTGCTCATTTGCTTTTTTTATGTATTCAAGATTTTTAACATGCAAAGTAATTGGCATTCCAACTATTTTATTTTAGCTTCTAGAAATATCAAAATTATTAACAGTGTCACTGCAGCTTTTACCATAGTATGCCAATTTGTTATGCCAACTATTTTTTTTTTATTTTCTAGAAATATCAAAATTATTAATAGTTCCAAACTGCTAGTTAAAAGTTCAGAGGTTTGGGGGGGTTGCAAAAAGAAGATTGATTAGAGAAGTTTCCACTCTGATGGAAGTACTTGTGTAGGAACTGTTTAATGTTTGTAAGGGTCTGGAAAGTAATGTTTTGTTACACATAACCTGGCAGTTGCTGTTTCACCACCATCCTGAATTTCTTGGTTTGCCTTGGAAAGTATCATAAGCTTCATGGCTGAAATATGGTACTTCTCTGTTGTTCGACAAATAGGCAGAGGTCCAATTTGGTTCTACTAGGGACCAAACCATCTTCATTAACAGTTATCATCATTTCATCATTTGTCTAGCTTCAAAAGACCCTCTTATTCATATTTCCCTGGGGTACGTTCAACGTTCTGCATATCTGTCTCACCTCTGTTGTAAATACAAATCCTTAACAAATGTTCACTAGATGAAATGGGTGCGAGAATTGATGAATTGGAGCAGAGCATCAATGACCTCAAGGCTGAGATGGGCAGTGAAGGCGTGTCGCCATCTAAGATGAAGGGAGAGTCAAAACCTTCAGACAGCTCTGCATGAGTGCAGCAGAAGCAGCATGATTCATTTCAGACGTCATTGCTGTATATTGGGCGTTCATCACTAACAAATACCGTTATGAGGTTTCATTTTAGAAAGACTGTAACTCATGGTACTTGTGTTTTGCTGAATGGTTTGCTATAAATTGTATCCGTCTTCGTTCTCTGTAGACTACTTGTGCTTATGCGCAGAGCATGTACATTCGTGTCATGACAGCTGCTAGAGTGCTACTAGCACGTAGAGATCTAATCTGACATCTGTGAATGATCACCGCAATTTTTCTTTTGTCTGACATCAGATCAATACTAGAATGAGATATTTGCAATTTTGTATCTGGAAGAGCGCACCCAGGTACTAAGAATTCAGGTTCGCAAGCATAATTTGCTTTGCTTCTGTGTTAGTTTTATCACTTATTCGTAGCAGTGTATAGTTTTAATTGGCTTACCTATGTTTTAGTATTTGCTTGGCTCATTGGGAAGGTTTACATATTAAGGGCCTGTTTGGCAGGATTCCTATCTGGCTCCGGCTCTGATTCCTCTAGAAGAGCCCTGACAAACGTTTTATGGAAGAGCCGGTTTTCAGCAAAAGCTAAGGAGCTGGAGTCGTTTTGAAGTAGCCACAAATTGTGGCTCCTCTAAAACGGATCTGGCTCCTCCGGAGGAGCCCCTCAGGAGAAGTCATGTCAAACATGGAGCCCCTCAGGAGAAAGACAGCCATGTCAACATACCCTAAATTTGGTACGGAGCCTCTCCAAAGCGGTTAGACCATTTGATTTAAATAGTTCTGACAAGGAACCAAATCAGTTTTTTCCTGTGACCCTTTAAAACATGAGTACGCAGCTCGAAAAAATGTACCGTTGAGCTTGTGGCTCTTGCGTTTCAGCAGCCAAGTATAGCGTAGCTTTAACCCCTAGGGCTTGTCTGGGTGCCTATGCATCCATCTTAACCCATGTATATTAGGACATCCCTAATGATTTTTAAAAAGCTAGTCGAGGAAGAATTCTATTGGTTATCATGGAGAGATCAAATAGTTAGCGATTCACAAATAGCTAGTCTAGCATGCTCTCCCATAAACTAGCTATTTGCAATTTGCCATTGAGGACACCCTTAAAGTGGTTTAGTGTAGAATTTTAACTAATTTCGCACCCAAATCACTCCAACACATGTTTAAATTACGTACCAAACCACTTCAATACATATGGATTGTGGTGGATACATAGACATCCAAACAAGGCCTCAAATTAGATGTTAAAGTAGGAAAACAAGGGGAATGATGCATGATGGCAGAAAGTATCCATCTGCTCGTACACCACAGTCCACGGTAATATTGTTCTAAATGTAATTAGTAGTTTTGTTTTTCTTTTGTTGGCATTTATAGGTTTATTTCAACGTCTTCAATGCCATCGCCAGGGACCCCGGGTTGTCGTTTATCAACCCGAGCGCCTTCCATCTTGAGTTATGTTCTCACTATCATATGCACTTCGCTTGCATCCTCATAAAAAAATCATCCGCCACAGGTCATGGGCTACGCTAATGACTTACAGCTTGATCGCTGGGCTGGCCGGACTGGCCAGCCTCCTCATATGAGTACTGTTCATCTGAACCAGCTAGCAGTATTTCTCTCTCACATAAACGAATCAGCAACGATACGAACCAGTCAACCGAACATGCTGTTAATCCAACCCTTACCAACATAGTGGAGGCCCAAACACCAGCAGCAGCAGTTGCTACGGGGCAAAGCTCGATGACTTCGACATGGTCACTTTGGCACCCTCGTGCTCCACGATAATGTTTAAACAGACTAAATGACTATTTAGACGAACAGTGGTTGGTATTGGTTGTATGGTTTTACTTAGTATGCCTTTTTTTTTAACTTTAGTATGCCTGTATTTTACACCTTCTTCAAAGGTGTTCTTGTACTTTTCCCTTTATAAATATAATCGAATATGTTCTAGGTTTCTTTAAAAAAAACATGGTAGTACGATGACCTGTGTAGCTGGGGCACTGAGATTAGTGAATTTTCCTATACAAAGTAAAGTTGGGACAATACAGGCCCAGTATCGCCACCTTTTATCGTATATACATGAGCTTGAAGGTACTCCATCCAAGAAAAAATGTATGTTTTAGTATCTTATAAGTTTAACCAGTTAAAAAAGTATCAATATTTATGATATCAAATAAATATTATTAGATTAATTATAAAATATATTTTTATAATAAATTAATTTAGAGTCATAAATGTAAATATCATTCACTAAAAATTTGGTCAAAATGAATCACTTTAACTAATACATAACTCATAGTTACATTCTTTTTTTTTTGACAGGGACTCAAAGTGTGTGAGAGACAGGTAAGATTCCGTTTCACGAGTAACAGGTACTACCTCTGTCCCCAAAAGAACACAAATATGGTATGCGTGCTAGTTAAAGTGATTTGCGTTTCACCAAGCTTCTAGAAAATAGTATTTGCATTTATGGTCTCAAATCAATTTATTATGAAAATACATTTCGTAATTAATCTTATGGTGTTTATTTGATATATATTATAAATATTTATACTTTTTTTATTTATAATTGGTCAAACTTGGTATATTAAAACGTGACACTGTTCCAGAATTGCATTCTTTTGGGGACAGAGAGAATACTATGCAAGTTTCATTTAATTTTAATACACGACAGTTATATTCCCACGGTTATTGTTGTTGTTAATATTGTTTTGGCTTATCTAATGTATTTCTTTTATTTTTATTTATCCATAGTAGCAATTTATATATTATGCCAACAAGAATAAATAATATTTTTTGAAAGTTTTCTTTTGTTCATTTACGAAAATCTGTACAGTAATGTAGCGTTGCTGAGGTCAGCAAAGCCTCCTCGTCTGCAATCTGGAGGGATCAAATCAAACGCCAAAAGCCCATAGAAAACCCTGACCTGAGCACCTGATCAGTTGCAATTTGGCGCGCCCGGGAAATCGCGAGGCCTACTACTCAAACCTAACATCGAATTCGAGTCGGAGTCGTTAGCGTAAAACCGCCATCGCAGCTGTCGGATCACGATCCCCTTCCCTCTCCTTCAATTCAATTTATAGTTCATTGGCTTCTCCCAATCGCTTCTTTCCATCTCGATTGCAATTCGCACTCTCCCATCGTCTTTCGATCCCGCCTCCTTGCGTCCAGATTCCCGCTGCCTCTCCAATCTCTAGTTCAGATTAGCTCTCTCCCTACTCTCCGCTCGTGTTTCGATCCCGTTTCCACGCGCCCAGATTGCACTCGCCTTTTTCTCTCCCAATCTCGAGCTCAGCATGTCTGCGGCGTCGGCGGTGGCGCCGACGGCCCGCAAGCTTCCGGCACCGGACCAAGACCCGCGCGCCGCTGACGCGAAAAAGCGACCGCGACCGCGGTACAAAGATCTCATGCGCATGCGCATCGACGAGTTCGAGGTATTGGAGGTGCTCTCAAGTGGATCCGCGGCGATGGGCCCGACGGCCACGGGCCTCCTAACCTCCGCGCGCTCGCCATGGAGGCCGGCTGCCTCCACGCCTTCCGCGGCCACCCGTCGATCATCGGGATCGATGGCGTCGCCGCCGACCCCAAGACCGGAGACGTGCATCTCGTCTTGGAGTTGATCCAGGGCGGGCTGAGCCTCCACGACTCCGACTACATGTGGAGGACCCCGTCGGAGGACACGATTCGCGAGATGATGAGGCAGCTTATCGGCGCTGCGAAGAAGGTACACGGTCTTGGCTTTATCCATAGAGATATCAAATCTGAGAACATCCTTGTCTGCCCTCTGGGCGAGCTCAAATTGTGCGACTTTGGGTCGGCGACGCGGAAGAAGCCCGATGGGAAGCCGCATCAGGCCTACCCCGTCGGGACGCTGCAGTACAACGCTCCGGAGCTGCTCGACGGCAATTGGTACTACGGCCCGGCTATCGACATGTGGGGGCTCGGGTGCGTTATGGCGGAGCTTCTCAGTGGTGAGAGACTGTTCCAGGCAGAGAGCGAGTACGAGATGACTGCCGAAATGTCCGAGTTGCGAGATAGGATGACCTCTGCTGCTGGAAAGCTCGACCCGGAGTGCTTGAAAGATCTGTCGGAGGACGGGCGTGATGTGCTCACAGGCCTACTGGCCTTCTGCCCGGAAAAGAGGCTGACCGCGGCGGAAGCGCTTGAGCACCAGTGGTTCAACAACTTCAAGGCAGCCTTGGATTGATGATTTTGCTTAGTTTTTAGATCGCTAGTAGCTGATTCTTTATCTTTTTGACAGTATTAAACAAAATTAAGTACATCTGCTGTTTGAGTTACAGGTCTGAATCATCTGCATGGTGTTGTGTCTCCTTTGATCCACAGGGATGGCGAGTATGATTTTCAATAGGCATGGGTCACGGAGAAGCAGATGTGATGTTATTGAGCCTCGTCCTGTTTGCTACTAGTTACTACAGAGCTGGAGCTAATGTTGGAGTGTGCTTTGACTGATGGGAAGCATCGTAGCACTCTCGATGCCCCAGTCAAGCAAACAGGTATACATGTTTCTTCTGCTAGTTAGGCCATGGTAAGATCAGAATACTACATACACATCACAGCTTAATTTACATCATGAGCCAGGTTCAACATCTCCAGAATCTGAAAAATCATAATACTTAGCACACGTTTTTGTTGGTTCACTTCCTACCTTTCTTACGAGTCATTCTTTTACCAGGTATCCTAAACTAAAAAGCAATTGCAAATTCCTAATACATCTTTTTTATTTTGTTGGCTAGAGAAAAGATGGCTTACTGGAAGCAGCGAGGCAAAATAAGAGCAATTAAAGAAGGTGATGCTAGTACAAAATTATTCCATGCTCTGATGCTCATGCCTCGATCAAGTATAGGTCCAGTTTGTCTGTCTGCAAGAGACAAAGATCGCAAACATGACCCAATATGTGTTCCTCTCGGTGTTTGGATTGTCTTATGATAAATACATTGCATTGCCCGCCAATGATACCAGGGGAGGTGTTCTGATTGCTTGGAAGGGCAGCTCTTGCCAGGCAATTGCTTCTAGGGTGGATACCTTTTCGGTGCCCGTCCTGTTCTCTGAGCAAGAAGGCCGCAATTGGTGGTTCACCGGAGTCTATGGACCACAAAGAGATGAGGAGAAGATGTTGTTCCTACAAGAACTTAGAAACTGTAAGGCTCTGAACAATGGACCTTGGTTAGTGGCAGGAGACTTCAATCTAATATACCAAGCTGCTGACAAGAATAATGCAAATCTGGACAGGGCTATGATGGGAAGATTTAGGCGGTTTTTGGATGACACCGAGATCAAAGAAATACCTTTGCTGGGCCGTAAATACACATGGTCCAATGAGAGGAGGTCTCCCACATTGGTTCAGTTGGATCGTGCATTCTGCTGTGTTGAGTGGGAAGGCATTTTTCCTAATTCAGTTCTGCAGAGTACGACAGCAGGAGTATCTGATCACTGTCCGCTTATCCTTGGCTTAAAAGTGAGCACCGGCGGCAAGCGTCGTTTTCATTTTGAAAGCCTCTGGACAAAGGTCCCAGGATTTATAGATGCTGTCAAACAGAATTGGGAAGCACCAGTACAGTCTGATTGCGCCATTGAGCGGTTTTCTCTGAAACTGCAGTGGCTCAGTAGAGGGTTACAAAAATGGGGACAAAGGAAGGTGGGGAATATCAAACTCCAGCTTGAGATGGCTGAGGAGGTCCTTCACCGCTTGGAAATTGAAAGGGATTCAAGGGATCTTACTGATGAAGAGGAGTGGCAGCGCAAGAAACTCAAACTCCATTGTCTTGGGTTGGCTTCTCTTGAACGAACCATCGCTTGGCTTCGTTCTAGAATTCTGTACCTTAAGGAAGGAGATGCCAACACTGCATTTTTTCATCAGCAGGCTAGATTCAGGAAAAAGAAGAACTTTATTCCAAAGTTGCAGGCTGGAGATCAAGTGGTTGTTTCACAGGAGGAGAAACAGCAAGCTGTGTTTGACTATTTTGATGGTATCCTTGGAAGGGCAGAGGAGAGGGAGTACTCTATTGATCTGAATACATTGGGCGTTCAACAACATGATCTTTCTATTCTGGAGGCTCCTTTTTCAGAAGAGGAAGTATGGGCTACTATAAAGGACATACCTTTGGATAAGGCCCCAGGACCGGATGGGTTTACTGAGCAGTTCTATAGAACATGTTGGAATATTATCAAAGGAGACATTTACCGGGGCCATGTGTTCAAGTTCAGGCTCCTTAACTCGGCCTTCATCACCTTGTTGCCAAAGAAGATGGATGCAGTTCAAGTAAAGGATTTTAGGCCTATAAGCCTGATTCATAGTTTCGCTAAATTGGTAACTAAAATTATGGCTAATCGATTGGCCCCTTTCTTACCATCTCTGATCTCTATGAACCAAAGTGCGTTTGTGAGAGGAAGGAATATCCAGGACAATTTCATTTTAGTGCAGCAAATGGTGAAATCTCTGCACAGAAAGAAGGAAGCTCACATCTTGCTCAAGTTGGATATATCTAAGGCATTTGATTCTGTGTCCTGGTCATTTCTATTGGAAGTCTTGCGACATGTGGGGTTTGGACAGCGGTGGTGTGACTTATTATGCCTGATCCTGTCAACTTCCTCCACACAAGCATTGGTTAATGGTGAGCCAGGAGAGATTATTACACATCAGCGAGGTCTTAGACAGGGGATCCCGTCTCACCCATGTTATTCATACTGGTCATGGACGTCCTGAACTCAATGATCAGGTATGCAACGATGAATGAGTTACTGCAGCCTCTATCCATTCAACAAGCCCGGCATCGAATCTCCTATGCCGATGATGCGGTGATGTTCTTAAGACCCTTCAGTTCGGATCTAACTGTTGTCAGACATCTTCTTGATCTGTTTGGACACACCTCCGGTCTTAGAACCAATCTGTCCAAAAGTTCAGTCTCCCCTATCCACTGTACGGATGAAGAGCTGACACTCACTGCCAACATCCTCTCTTGCTCCATCAAGGATTTTCCCTGTACTTACCTTGGGCTTCCACTCACAATTGGCAAGCCAACCAAGGAGGTACTGTTGCCTTTACTAGATAAAGTGGCTGACTACCTCCCAGGATGGAAGGCATCTTTAATGAACAGAGCTGGGCGGCTGGTAATGGTGCGCGTGGTCCTGACTGCTGCCCCAATTTACCTCTTGACAGCTATGGATATGCCAAAGTGGTTTTTTAAGGCTATAGATAAAAAAAGAAGAGGGTTCCTTTGGAAGGGACAAGAACAGGCAAATGGGGGTCACTGTTTGGTAGCTTGGGAGAAAGTACAGCGGCCAATCGAATATGGAGGGCTGGGCATCCATAATTTAGAACTGCTTGGCTGTGCTCTAAGAATTCGTTGGCTTTGGGCACAGAAGACTGATTTGGACAGACCATGGGCAGGGCTCCCGGTAGCTGTACCCCGTAAGGCTCAGGCCCTTTTTGATGTCGGAGTGGATGCCATTGTTGGAAATGGGGAACAGATCCTGTTTTGGACCGACAGGTGGCTGGATGGTCACACCATGGCTGAAATAGTCCCTAATTTGGTCAAAACATTGACAAAATGAACAGCCAAGCGACGGACGGTGGCTCAAGCAATCCAGAACAGAAGATGGATTGGTGACATAAAAGGAGCTCGCACAATAGAGGTTCTGATTGAATACCTACATATTTGGGATATTGTGGATGGCTTACTCTTGCAGCCGGATGTGCAGGACCGTTACACTTGGAAGTTATCCCAGGATGGGACATACAGCAGCAAATCTGCGTATGGAGCCTTCTTCGTGGGAACCATCAAGTTTGGACCATGGCGAAGGATCTGGAAAACTTGGGCACCCCCACGCTGTAAATTCTTCATTTGGCTGGTATTCCACAATGGGGTCTGGACAGCCGATAGGTTGGCTAAAAGAGGCCTCCCCCATCCGGATGCTTGTCCCTTTTGTGATCAGGCTGAGGAGACCATACATCACTTGCTGGTTGAATGTGTATTCACTCGCCAAGTGTGGGCCTTTATATTCCAGAAGCTTGGCCTGCTGTTTCTGGCGCCTGATCCAACTGTGAGTCGCTTCTCGGGATGGTGGAGGAAAACTAATGCAGCGGCTCCAAAGGAAATCAGAAAGGGTTTGAACACTTTGATAATCTTGGTAGCTTGAGAGGTCTGGAAGCATCGTAATGATTGTATCTTCCAGAACTTAAGGCCGAGTGTTCAGGAGGTTATCAGTGTTGTGTGCACGGAGGGTGGTCTTTGGTGTATGGCCGGGGCCTCCAAGCTCACACAGCTTTTATCCAGGTCGCTCCCCTCTGGAGTTTAAGTCCTGGGAGTTGTTGGTCATCTGTTAGTTTATGGCGCGCTGATGTGCTGGTCTCCTTGTGTGTGTGTGTGTGTGTGTGTGTGTGTGTGTGTGTGTGTGTCCTAGTGCTCGGGTTGGGTCTCCCAGACCTGTGTACTTGTTTTTTTCTACCTTAATGAAATGACGCGCAGCCCTCCTGCGTGGTTCGAGAAAAAAAAGTCAGATCAAAGAAATTGAGGTGGACTGTGCAGTTGTCAGTGATCATGCTGCTAAGACCCAAGCTTTCACTTCCTACACTGAGCTGCTTGGTGCAGTAGTGGATACAAGATGGGATTTCAGTTTACAGGAAGTCTGTGGTGACCAAGCCCCTGTTGATGACTCCACCCTGTCAGCTCCCATCACAATCCAGGAGGCCAAATCTGTGTTGCGTGGCATGGGCAGGAATAGCACTTGACGGGTTTGGTGCTTCCTTCTAACTTCTATACTGCTGCTTGGGACTTTATCAAGCCAGAATTGGAACAACTTCTGTGTGCCTTCAACAACAATGAGGCAGAAATGGAGAGGATAAATAGAGCCTACATTGTCCTACTGCCCAAAAAGCCAGGTGTGATCTCACCTGCAAAATTTCTCTGTGAAGCCCATCTCGAAGGTCCTCACAAGTAGGTTACAAAATCAAATTCAAAGTCTGGTAGCTCTTGACCAAACTGGATTTATAAAAGGGAGATCGATCTCTGAAAATTTCATCCTTGCCACGGAACTGGTTCAGTGCTGCTATAAGAGGAAAATTCCTAGCTTGGTAATTAAACTAGATTTTGCGAAGGCTTATGACTCAGTGAACTGGCAGAGCCTCATGGCGATTATGGAGTATTGAGGGTTCTCAAAAAATGGTGTTTGTGGATCAGGTCGCTTCTCAGGACGTCCATGTCAGCAGTATTAGTAAACGGAGTGCCAGGACCCAAACGAGGGCTGCGACAAGGGGACCCCATTTCCCCATACCTGTTCTTGCTTGTGGCTGATGTGCTTCAGGCTCTGATCAATCACGACGGCTCTATCTCCCATCCTCTTGCACCGGATAGGAGCTGCCCCATTCTTCAATATGCGGATGACACACTGCTACTTATCCCTGTAGAGCTAGGTGCAGTTCAGACACTCAAATCCCTCCTGGACCAATTCTCAGCTGCTGCAGCCCTGATGAAGATCAACTACCACAAAAGCACCTTGGTGGCACAGTTCTGAAGCAGAGTGCAGCCAGTTCAAAGCAGTTCTGCAGTGCAAAGTTGACAGTTTCCCTCAGGTGTACCTGGGGCTCCCCCTCTCTGATGTCAAGCTCAATTTGTCAGCATTTACTCCATTGATTGCAAGAGCAAATAAACAGCTCACGGGATGGCAAGCGATGTTCCTGAACCCCAAAGGAAAACAAGTTCTTGTGAACTCAGTTGTGGACAGTGCCATCTCTTACCTCATGGCTGCTATGCTTCTTCCTGCAGAAACTATTGAATCCTTAGACCAGAAAAGAAGAACCTTTATTTGGTCAGGGAAGGACCGCACCAATGGGGCTAGATGCCTAGTTGCATGGAATCAGGTGTGCATGCCGAAAGAAAAAGGGGGGCTCGGAGTGAAGGACGTTGCCGTTCAAAACCAATGCTTGCTGCTGAAACTTCTCCATAGGCTGCATCACCCCGCCAACTCGGCTTTGGCTCAGTGGGCACGTGAAGAAGTGGATTTGAGCATTTTGAAAGGTAAAAATGCTGTTGGTCCTCATTGGGAGGCGTTGCGCTCACTTCTTCCAGTGTACCAGAGTATCACCTTTGTAGACGGTGATGGCCGAGCAACAGACTTTTGGAATGACTGCTGGACAGGGAAGGTGCCGCTAGCTGCTTGCTTCTCTAACCTCTTCAGTAATGCAAAGGTTAAAGAAATTCAGCTTCTTTTTTAACGTAAAGAAAAAAAAGAAATTCAGCTTCAAAAAGTGGTAGATAATGGAATTCATGAATTCTTGGTACCACGCCTTTCGAGAATGTCTGTGTTATGACCGGTTTGCAATATACCAGGCGCAGGCCCATTAGTGCCTAAAGTAGCCCATTAGCATATTTTTATTATTCCCTCAATATTTCCCTAGAGTATAAATATTTGTAATCAGGCACAATTATGATTAAGCAAGAGTAATCAATTTACTCGGCTTCCCTTGGGAGCCGGGAATTGCCCTAGCCGCCGCCCCAGTTTCTCTTCAGCTCGCACGCGACCACGGCGCCCCGCCGCCGTGCTGCAGCCTCCAAGCTTCGCCCAGCCATCGCACACTCATACAACCTTCGATCCACCAGAGGCAAGGCTCACGTACGTATCAACCTGGTATCAGACTTGGCCATGTCGATTCCTCTGCCCACCTCCACTGTGCCACCGCTCGCCGCGATTGAACCACCCGGCACCAACGTGCCGCTCCAGACGGCTGCGTTCACATCGGCGCTGGTGCCGAACCCATCCCTGCCGATGGGCGCCCCAGCAGCGCCGCGCGCCGTCTTCACACTAGAGCAGATGACGGGGGCCATCGTCGACCTCAGCCACGGCATGGCCGAGATGCGACTGACGATGCAGTCCGTCCTCAACCTCCTCAACCCGACGCCGCAGCAGTACGCCGTGCCGCCGCATCAGCCGGCCCTGCCACCGCCCCTGTACACGGCGCCCCCGCACACGGCTCCGACCTCGTACCTCTACGGGATGCCCACCGACGCTGGGCCCTCGACCTCACCACCGCTGCCATCGACCGGCGTCCCGATCCACATGATCCGCTTTCCGGCTTCGCTGTCCCAGATTCTAGCATGGGCGCTGGGCCACTCCAGCCCCGCCTACACGACGACTCCGCCCCGGACGCACGTTCCCGATCATGGGGCTCCGCTGGTGTCGGGTACCCTCTACGGCGGGATGGATGGCACCCTCTTCCACGGCAGCAGCGTCATGCCCACGGCCACCAGCGCCCCAGGATCCAACGAGGGCGCCCGCGAGGGTGGTGCTCCTGCATCTGTGCAGGGCCACGGGCCACCGAAGTTCCACAAGATCGAGTTCACGACATACGACGGCTCTGTCGATCCGCTGAACTGGTTCACGCATTGTGAGCAATTCTTCTAGGGCCAGTTCACTCCGGCGTCGCAGCGCACCTGGATGGCATCTTACCACCTCACTGGAGCGGCCCAGACGTGGTACTACGCCCTCGAGCAGGACGAGGGTATGCCGCCGTGGGACAGGTTCAAGGACCTGTGTCGCCTTCGCTTCGGCCCGCCCATCCGCGGCACTCGCCTGGCGGAACTGGGCCGGCTGCCCTTCCACTCCACGGTGGAGGAGTTTGCAGGACGCTTTCAGGCGGTCCTGGCTCACGCTCGGGACATCTCTACCCGCCAAAAGGCGGAGCTCTTCGTGGGCGGCCTGCCGGATCACATCCGCGTGGACGTGGAGATGCACGATCCCGGCGACCTCCAAACGGCCATGTACTTGGCGCGCACCTTCGAGTGCAAGGCCGCGGCCTTGGCAGCGCCAACGCAGCGTGGCGCCCGTCCTCCCCAGCGGTCGGTTCCACCGGCTCGGCCGGCCGCCGGGGGAGGGACTTCGGCTGGGACGACCACCTCTACAGCACCCACACCTCCTGGCTCCGGCACACCAGCCCAGGGCCGCACGTTCCGCCACCTGTCGCCTGCGGAGATGCTCGAGCGTCGTCGCCAGGGTTTATGCTACAACTGCGACGAGCAGTATGTGCGCGGCCACGTGTGCCAGCGCCTATTCTACCTGGAGTCCTCGGACTACATTGACGACGAGGAGTTCACGGCTGCGGCGGATGCTGTGGTCGCGGCAACCGAGGACCCCACGGCGCCACTGGACGGGGCAACTGCTAATTCCCTTGTTTCCATCTACGCTCTTGCAGGGATCAGGACGTACCACACCATGCTGCTGCCCGTCATGATCAACGGGGAACGCCTCCTCGCCCTGCTGGACACGGGCTCCACCCACACTTTCCTCCAGGGCGCGGCAATGCGTCGCCTAGGGCTCGTGCTGCGGGGGGGGGGCGACCAGCTCCGAGTCACCGTCGCTAACGGTGAGCGCGTGCCGTGCGAGGGGATTGCTCGTGATGTCCCCGTCATGATTGGCGACGAGTCCTTCCCCATCACCTACGTGGGGCTCGCTCTCGGCTGCTTCGACTTCATCCTCGGCGTCGACTTCCTCGGAGCGCTAGGTCCCTTGCTGTGGGACTTCGAGAGGCTCACCGTGTCCTTCCAGCGGGGCGACCAGCGCGTCACGTGGCAGTGCGTGGGCACCCCGGGCGCCTCGACGAGTCAGCAGCGCCTAGCTGCGACCACCGCCGACCAGCAGCGCCCGCTACTGGACCAGCTGCTCCAGCAGCATGGGGCCATCTTCGACGCGCCGCACGGCCTTCCCCCCGTGCGACCATACGACCACCGCATCCACCTTCTACCGGGGACCGCGCCCGTGGCGGTGCGGCCCTACGGGTACCCACAGCTGCAGAAGGACGAGCTGGAGCGGCAATGCGCCGCAATGTTGGCGCAGGGCATCATCCGGCCGAGCACGTCGCCTTTCTCAGCGCCGGTCCTGCTTGTCAAAAAGTCGGACGGGTCGTGGCGCTTCTGCATCGACTATCGAGCGCTCAATGACAAGACGTCCAAGGACAAATTTCCGATTCCGGTGGTCGACGAGCTTCACGGGGCTCGCTACTTCTCCAAACTCGACCTCCGGTCTGGCTATCACCAGGTGCGCATGCACCCGGCGGACATCGAGAAGACCGCTTTCCGCACCCACCACGGCCACTTCGAGTTCCTGGTGATGCCGTTTGGGCTGTCCAACGCCCCGGCGACGTTCCAGGCCTTGATGAACGACGTCCTCCGGCCCTTCCTCCGCCGATTCGTGCTGGTCTTCTTTGATGACATCCTGATCTACAACACATCGTGGTCCGAGCATCTCCAACACGTGGGCCTCGTCTTCTCCGCCTTGCGAGCTCACGGCCTCTACCTCAAGAGGTCGAAATGCTCCTTCGGGGCGCTCTCCGTCGACTACCTCGGGCACGTCATCTCCGCCGACGGCGTCGCTATGGACAGCGACAAGGTGGCTGTGGTCGCCTCTTGGCCGACGCCGCGGTCACCCCGTGGCGTGCGCGGCTTCCTCGGGCTTGCGGGCTACTACCGCAAGTTCATCCGCGACTTCGGCTCCATCGCGGCGCCACTCACGCGTCTCCTGCGCAAGGAGGCGTTCGTCTGGACGGCAGAGGCGGAGGAGGCTTTTGCCTCCCTCAAACGGGCCCTCTCGTCGGGCCCTGTTTTGCAGATGCCGGACTTCACCCGCGAGTTCGTCGTCGACTGCGACGCGTCCGGCGCCGGCTTCGGCGCCGTCCTCCACCAGGGGTCGGCCCCCCTGGCGTTCTTCAGCAGGCCGTTCGTCGCGCGCCATGTCAAGCTGGTGGCCTATGAGCGTGAGCTGATCGGCCTCGTACAGGCGGTCCGGCACTGGCGACCATACTTATGGGGGCGCCGTTTTCTTGTCCGCACCGACCACTACATCCTGAAGTTCCTCCTGGACCAACGGCTTTCCACTGTTCCGCAACATCAGTGGATTAGCATGTTGTTCGGGTTCGACTTCGCGGTCGAGTATCGTCCCGGCCGACTCAATTCGGCGGCGGACGCGCTGTCCCGCCGCGACGAGGACGCAGTGGCGGCGTTCACCTTGTCCGGGCCGTCCTTCGCCCTCTACGACGACATCCGGGCAGCCACCACGGACGACCCGGTAGCGCGCGGCCTCCTGCAGCAGCAAGCTGCGGGCGCCTTGGAGGCGCCCTGGAGCACCGCGGAAGGCTTCCTCCTCCACGGCAAACGCGTCTACGTCCCCGACCTGCAGGACTTGCGCCACCAGGTGGTGACCCTGGCGCACACCGCGGGCCACGAGGGCGTTCAGAAAACCCTTGTGAGGCTGCGCGGCGACTTCTACATTCCCGGCGACCGCAAGCTTGTGCAGGACTTCGTACGCACGTGCGGCGTGTGCCAGCGCAACAAGACGCCCACGACGCAGCCGACTGGTCTCCTTCAGCCCCTGGATGTGCCGTCCCAAGTGTGGGCAGACATCTCCATGGACTTCATCGACGGCCTTCCCAAGGTACATGGCAAGTCCGTGATCTTAACAGTGGTGGATTGCTTCTCCAAGTACGCGCACTTCATCGCCCTCAGCCACCCCTACACCGCCGCTTCGGTCGCCCGCGCCTTCTTCGAGGGGATTGTCCGAATTCACGGCTTCCCCAACTCCATCGTCAGCGACCATGATCCCGTCTTCACCAGCCACTTGTGGAGGGATTTATTTAAGCTTGCAGGTGTGAAGCTGCGACTCAGCACGGCCTTCCACCCCCAGACTGACGGCCAGTCTGAGGTCGTCAACAAGGTGATCGCCATGTACTTGCGTTGCGCGACTGGCGATCGCCCTGGCTACCGTGGGCGGACTGGCTACCGTGGGCGGAGTACTGCTACAACACTTCGCACCACACGGCGCTTCGGGCGACTCCTTTCGAGGTGGTCTATGGCCGGCCCCCGCCTCCCATTCTGCCACACCAGGAGGGAGCTGCTGAGACGGAGGATGCGGACACCATGCTCCGAGATCGCGACGCCTTCCTGGTCGAGGTTCGGGAGCGCCTCCTTCAGGCGCAGCAGCACGCCAAGGACCGCTACGACGAGCACCACCGGGACGTGGACTTCAACATCGGCGACTGGGTGCTACTCCGACTACTTCACCGCCCCACCCACTCGCTCGCGACGCCGGCCAAGGGCAAACTCCGACCGCGCTACGCCGGCCCGTTCCAAGTTCTGGAACGCATTGGGCAGGTCGCCTACCGCCTGCAACTTCCCGAGGGTGCACGTCTCCATGATGTTTTCCACGTCGGGCTGCTCAAGCAATGGC